CCCTTTGACACTGGCCATAGCAACTTCTTTCTAGAGATGTATCCCGAGGCAAGGGAAACAAAAGCAAAAATAAACTATTGGGACTTCATCAAAATAAAAAGCTTCTGCACAGCAAAGGAAACAATCAACAAAACTAAAAGGCAACCTATGGAATGGAAGAAGATATTTGCAAATGACATATCTGATAAAGGGTTAGTATCCAAAATATTTAAAGAACTTATAAAACTCAACACTCAAAAATGAATAATCCAATTCAGAAAGGGGCAGAAGACATGAACAGACATTTTTCCAGAGAAAACATACAGATGGCCAGTAGACACATGAAAAGATACTCAACATCACTCATCATCAGGAAAATACAAGTCAAAACTACAATGAGATATCACATAGGCCTATCAGAATGGCTAAAATCAACAACACAAAAAACAACACTGTGGCAAGCATATGGAGAAAGGGGAATCCTCTCGCACTGCTGGTGGGAATGCAAACTGGTGTGGCCCCTGTGGAGAACAGTATGGAAGTTCCTCGAAAAGTTAAAAATAGAACTACTCTCTGATCCTGCAACTGCACTACCAGGTATCTCCCAAAGAATACAAAATACTAGTTTAAATTCAAAGGGATATGTGCACCCTGATGTTTATAACAGCATAATCCATAGTAGCCAAATAATGCAAACAGCCCAGGTGTCATTGATGAATGGATAAAGAATATGTGAGATAGATAGATATATATATATATATATCTATCTATCTCACATATTCTCACACACATATATATGTATATATATATATACATTGTTATATATTATATAATATATAAATATATATATATAAAATATTACTCAGCCATGAAAAATAATGAAATCTTGCCATTTACAACAATATGGATGGAGCTAGAGAGTATTATGCTAAGCAAAATAAGTTAGTCCAAGAAAGACAAACACCATATGATTTCACTCATATGTAGAATTTAGTCAACAAAAGAAATGACCAAAGGTGGGGGAGCAAGAGGGAATCAAACCAAGAAATAGATTCTTAATGAGAAAGAACAAAGTGATGGTTATCAGAGTGGAAGTGGGTGGAGGGATGGGTAAATTAGGTGATGGGGATTAGGGAATGTACTTGCTGTGATGAGCCCTGGATGTTATATGGACATCTTGAATCACTATCTTATAAACCTGAAACTAATAATGCACTGTATGTTAACTAACTGGAATTTAAATTAAAAGTTAAAAAGAAAAAAAGAAAGAAAGAAAAGCATCTGTACCTGACTCCTCTCTGTTATCCCTACCTGTGTTATAATGAAATTCCACTAACCCTGAAATTGGAGGGGAAGATCCATGGTATATATTTAGTTAGGGAACAACAGCAACAGATTGTTGCAGTATATAGAATACACAAGCAGCAGAACAGAAGCTATGGTAGAAGCCACTAAGTCACATGGATTCCAACTATAATATAGTATATGAAAGGAATTAATTTTAAGAGAAAATGTAAAACTATAGAAACGAAAAAAAGTGATACCAGGAAAATCTTTTACCTGGGCATGTTAACAATTCCAGTACACTGCATCTGATCAAAATCCTGAAGACTAACTCAAGCTATCCATCCTATCAGAGGTGTACCTAAAATAAGTACCTACATCTATTCAAAGAACTATCTACAATACATACATTCTTGAAAGAAACACCTGGACCAAGACTGGTCTACGTGCCTTCCATTCAATAAGGCATTCCTTTAATTACTTATGGCTTGCTAAATTTTTAGTGTGAAGTTTTTTTTCTTTTAACAAAAAATAAGCTTAAGAAATTTGGTTTTTGTATGAAAGGCGGCTTCATTTGACACAGATGAAACAAGACAATCAAAGGAAAGTAAGAGTTTGATGATTTATTCTAATCAAATATGAATATATCAGGAAAGAATAGATGATATGATGAAATTATGGATTCACAGATTTTCTTAATGTTTATGCCTTTACATATTTGGAAAGAAGAGAGGCAAACCCTATTGCCCCTAGGGCACAGGAACTGACTGACTAGGGGATAGAAGGAAAAAATCCTACTCTCAAGACCCAAAACACAGAACCAGCTTAAGAGTGAGGCTACACCAGTCCCCACTCACTTCCCACCACCCACTCCCCACCACCCACCTCCAGGCTAACAAACACCAAATAACAAGGAACAATAGTACTGATGGAAGAAGGGCAAGGGTATATTTATAGAGAAAGACACCCTTTAAGCCTCAGTCTCACAGGAAGAGCTAAAGCTGAGTATGAAACGAGAAACCTGAGGGAAAAATCCTCTAGTAACATAACTCCCACCCTCAGCACAAAGAAATACTACAGGAATTGAACCTGGTAGTATACCAAGGGTAACTATAGCAACAAGAAAGCCAAAACTCAGATCAACTCACTAGGTGAAATCAAATCCCATAGTAATGACCTAACATAAGAAATGGTATGCCCACTTTTCAGATACAAATACTATTTATCTGTCTTCCATATAATTTCTTGCTTTCAACCAAACATTGTATAACACAAAAACGCAAAGGGGGAAATGAACTGTCAGGAGACAAAGCAATCAGCAGAATCAGACTCAGATATGACTCCACTACTGGAAGTATCAGACAGAACATTTTAAATTACTATTATTAATATGTTAAATGTTTTGGTGAAAAAAGGAGGACAACATGCATGACCAGAATGGTAATTTTAGCAGAGGGTCAGAAACTGTAAGAATCAACGGAAATGCTAGGGGAAAAAAACAACCACAATGACAGGGATGAAAAATGCCTTTGATGGGCTCATCAGCAGATGTGACACTAATGAAAAAATGAATCAGTGAAACTGAAGATAGGTCAACAGACAGAAATTACCCAACATAAAACACAAAAAAAGTACATGGAGGATACGGTGGATACTAAAACAAGGCATCTAAGAATAGGGGTTAACATCAAATGGTATAGTATTTAGGAAATTGGAATCCCAGAAGTAGAAGATATGGGACAGCTCGAAGAACACCAATCAGGATAAACACCCCAAATAAATAAATAGATAAACATATAGGTAAACATATGAACAAACCAGATTTAGACACATCTTGCTCAAACTGATGAGAACTATAGATAAAATCTTGAGGGGAACCAAAAAATTCAACACATTATAATATATAGGAAACAAAGATCAAAATTACAGTAAGACATTTTGTCAGAAAATATGCAAACCAAGAGAAAACAAAATGACTTCTTTAAACTGCTGAAGGAAAATAAAACTGTCAACCCAAAATTCCATATTCACCAAAAAAAACCTTTCAAAAATGAAAAATATATTTTTAAATGAAAAAGGCATAGAAGAATTAATTATCAGTAGATCTGCAACATCAGATATATCAAAGGAAGTTATTAAGGCAAAGGAATGTGGAATTAGACAGAAATGGAGAGCTAACAAGGAAATAAAGGGCACTGGACATGGTAAAGAGAAAGTTGAATATAAAATTATTTTTTCAAGTTTTTAACTGCTCTAAAAAATAACTATCTAAATCAAAAACAGTAACACTGTATTCTGTCTTTATAACCTATGTAAAAATAAAACATATGACAACCACAGGAAAAAAGAACCCACAAACTATTAACATCAGGAATGAATGAGAGAATTATCACTGCAGACCTTAAGACATTAAAAGATTAATGGAATAGTACAAACAAGTCTATATAGATAAATTCAATATTAAAAACCACAAACTACCAAAATCCATTCAAAAATAATCACATAACTGGGGCGCCTGGGTGGCTCAGTTAGTTAAGTGTCTGCCTTTGGCAGAGGTCATGATCCCAGGGTCCTGGAATGAGGCATGCACCAAGTCCTGGGTCGGGCTCTCTGCTCAGCAGGGAATCTGCTTCCCCAGGCCTTCTACCCTCCCTTTCCCCCTGCTCATGCTCTTATTCTCTCTCAAATAAATAAATAAAACCTTAAAAAAAAAAAAAAGAATAATCATATAACCAAAAAATCCCATATCTATTAAACTTATTTGTAGTTAAAAACCTTTCAAACAAAAGAAAACTTTCTATGGTGTAGAAGATAGCTGCTTGGAAGAAAGTGGCTAAGTTCTGCTAGGTTTCACTTATTCACTGTTCAGTATGGAAATGCTGTTCAAAAGATAAATGCTGAACCTGCCTCATGCATCTCTGAGCATACTCAGAGATATGGAATATTTTGTAGTATTAAAAAAACTGACATTGAGAAAACATGTACTTGAACAAAAATATTTCTACAAAAAAAACCCCAAAATCAAACAAACAAAAAACTATTTCTACATACACCATTAGATTGCCCAGTAAATAACATTTATAGGATAACCCCAAGTATTTTATTCAGAGTGCCTGTTTAAGACAGTAAAAACACATTTAATATATATTCAAAATATTTTTTAAACAAGATTTATTTATTTTAGTGAGAAAGAGTGCAGTGGGGGGAGGGGCAGACAGAGAGAATCTCAAGCAGACTCCCTGCTGAGCAAGGACCTCTACAAGGGGCTCAATTTCATGACTAATGAGATTGTGACTTGAGAGAAACCAAGAGTCAGATGCTTAACCGACAGAGCCATGTGGTACCCTTGAAATATTTCTATTTTAAGTATTAAATTTTCCTGGCAGCCCAGAAAATAAAATCATCTGGAAAGATTAATTTTCCAATGTGTAAATTATTTGACATTTTATTGATTTCAGGATTTTTAAATAATAAACTTATCTCCATTAACTCACTAGTTGAACTAAAAAACAGATAAGTGAAATATATGATGCTTTTATAAAAACAGAAACACCTTAGAATTTTGCTTAAGGTTAGATATTTTTATATCTAATGACAACAAAAAACAAATCTTATTTTTTTCCTGATAACATGCCAATAATTGTTATTATGCACAATGAATTGAAATGTTTTAAAAATTAAACCAGTAATATTTTCACATATTCAAGCCTTTAAGGTACAGGTAAAACAAAATTTACCTCAGACACAGGTTCTTGTTCCTTAGTGGGAGCTTCGTTTTTTAATCTTGAAAACAAAATAAGTATTGAATAATTTATTTTATATTTACAATGGAAAATATGCAACAGTTCTTTTCTGCATGCTTAAAATAATTATGATGTGAATTTAAACTAATGTAGATTTGTAAATGACCTTTATAAATATTAAGGGAAAAATAAACAGTAGATTCAATAAACGTGCTAAAGAAATCAATACAGGCATGTATTTCCTTCTTTTCTAAAAACAAGAGCACTTAAGAAATACAATTATAAATAAAAGACAATATATTAGTAAAATCATTTCAAAAAGAGAATTACTCTTTAAAAAATAAAAGCAGGTTGTATGCTTAATATATATAATATGCATAAATATTTACTATTATAGGGCTTAAAAAGTGAGAGAAGAGAAATTTTATCTACTGTGAAATTCAATATAATGCTATTTTGATATTTATTACAATTAAGGTAGCAAAATCACAGAAATAATTTATAATTCTGAAAGATATAGTCAACCTTCATAAGCATAGCTCAAATATTAACTACAATTTTTTTAAACCTGGTTTCTAAAAATAGAAAAATTATAACTTACTACAACATTAAGAAAGGCATATGCCATCTCTAAAATAATCTAATATAAAACCTATCTTTCCCAAAAGATCTTTTAGAAACTGCTGATAACAAAATACTATCTACTGATTATATTAAACTCAATTTTAAACTACATAAGTCAAGTGCCTACCTGATCTGAAATGCCATTAATAGTTAAATGATTCATTACTTTATGAAGGCTTAGAACTATACTTAAAGATAAATATATTTAATATAAGTAACAACTATACTGACTTAAATTTCATGTACAAAAATGAAGACCTAAAGTAGGATAGAAACATCAACTACCCTAAAAGCTACTCTCATGGTTAGTTGAAATACGGAGTTGATAATCATCTTTATCCATTCTCTGAGGGCACACTGAAAAAAACAGGTCTATAGATTCTAATGCTTTATTAGATATTAATAATAATTTGTGTAAAATTACTTATCTATATTTTAGTTATTACATGAAATTATAAACAATTTAAAATAGTGTGTCATTTTTCATTCTTTTATTATATTGGTAATGAATTATAGTAATTTACAACTAACTTACTAAACAAATTTAGATGAATAAAACTTGCAGAAATACTGACAAAATTCATAAATGTCAATCATTTTGGAGATTAAAGATTTTGTAATTCTTTTAAATGTTTAATTGTGAACAATATTCATAAAGATGAAATTTCACATTAGTCTTTAGTGATTTATACAGGAAAATGATAGTCTTACGAATAACATGTATAAAGTCATATGAAAACATGAAGAATTAGTGTAAAGAAACAAAAAGTAGATATTGGAGTAATGAAGTTTTGAAATAAATTTGTATATTACAACTGATTTTTATTTCTAAGTAGTTAAAAATTTTAAACTCAATTTGAAAAACTGAAACAAACTGGTCAAAAAGAAGTTTAAAAATATTTTATAAGAGAATTTCCCTGTCGAGTTTATGGTTGAAAATATTATCAAAGATCAACCTTACATTCTTATAAAAGAAACATTACCATGCTAATCATTTTTCACATATGGCTATTCCAATAAACTGATTTTAAGCAACAATTAAAATGAAAGCTATTAAGCATGTGTTAATATTACTGCTGGTATTTCAATTGGAGAAACTAAGGCCTCTCACTATCTCTGCAAAACAGGTTAGTGACAGAGTTTTTTTTTTATTACTCTTCATCTTTAAGAAACTGGTAGATGAGAACAAAAAAAGTTATTGAAATAATTAGCACGAAGAGGACTATGATACCAATCTTATTTTGGGGCTTTAACCACACTGGTATTCTATTTGTGGAACAGAATTATAATAACCAGTGAAATATTTAAGTAAACAAATATTTAAAAAATTCAAAAAGTACACTATATAAAATTTCACTGAGAAAAAAAATTCAGAGTTAAAAATTCATCACTAAAATGTACACTACATTTTTGTAACTACAAAAGCATATTTTAGGATTAACAAATTAAAACAAAAAGATGAACAAATTTTAACACAACTACTAACATATCATTAACACTATTAGAAAAGAAAAAAGTGTTCTTACCTGTAATTCTTACTCATTAAAGATACCTGCTGAAATAGTCATCATTTAAGATATTCAATTGCTTGGTAGAAGACAGTGAAATTTGCTAAGCTCAAAGTTCTGAGCTAAAGACCTGCTATTAGATAATTATACTTTTCACCTGTAAATGTTGCAATAATTTTTTAACAGAAAAATGTAGTACAACACTTAAAACAAACACTAAAATTTCAGTGTAAAGAGAACAGAAAGATTGGTGATCAATTTCAAAATGATTACAGATCAAGATTGCAAGTAAATTACTTTTCTTCTGTATTTGAACCCACTGAAACAGATCTTTCTGATAAAGGACAATCCTTTCCCTGTAAAGTTTAATATAAAATAAACACTCTTTCTTGCATTTTTCTGCAGTCACATAACTAATCCAAGGCTACATGTAAAATAATTCTGGGTTAACTACATTAGTGTGTTATTCTGAGGTTTCTTTTGAGGTTTCATTCACACGATACACATACCTTGGGGTAAAGGGAAAAGCTATAAAGGGAAAGTCATTCAGATTCATTTTAGCCAGGCCATATTCTGTCCTTCTAATAACATTTAAAAGCCCCAAAATTCAGTGTTGATTTTTAAAATGTAATCTTCAATTTAAGAATATTTGTAAGCATACTAAAAAAGCTGAAAAGTTGCACAAGCCAATAGGAAAGCCAATCACTCAAGATCTTCTACTTAAGATATTCAAGACTATGGATGCCTGGGTGGCTCAGTGGGTTAAAGCCTCTGCCATGATCCCAGGTCAGTTCAGGTCATGATCCCAGGGTCCTGGGATCTAGCTCCCATCGGGCTCTCTGCTAAGCAGGGAGTCTGCTTCCCTTCCTCTCTCTCTGCCTACTACTCTGCCTACACAAAAAAAAACATTCAAGATTAAATTTAAGATAGTAATCATCAAACTACTAAATTATAGTAAAACATCTAGTGTGCCATTTCTGATCATTTGTTCTGAGAGGTGTTAATAGATAGATGGAAAGGGTAACTGAGCTAAGCACTTACTGGGTTACACATACATCAGGTACTGTGCTAAGAGTTCTAGTCCAAAGTTAAGACATAGTCCCTCCTATCAAGGAGTTCATCATCAAGGAAACATGTTGAAGCAAATGCTTATGGAATTGTGAAAAGTGTTTCAAAAAAAAAAAGCGAGAGAAACATCTATACGATGGAATGGCTGTTCAAAGGACTGAGCCACTACAAAAGGGAAAGATGCAAGGAAGCAGTGAATATACTGTAGTAAACTTGGTTTTGCAGGAAGAGCAGGAGTTAGCAAAGCAAGGGAAGGAGATTCAAGGCAGAGCAAAAGCAAAGAATTATGAAACAAGACAACAGTGTTATGAGAACCTGAGTGGTCTCATATGACTATAATGTAGGAACAAAGGAGAGTAGTCAAATATGCAATTGAAGAGATAGCAAGGGCAACTTCAGGAAAGATCTTGATTGCCAGGATATAGTGTTTGTGCTAAGTTAACAGGAAAGTATGATGATGTGCATCTGGAAGACCAAGGGGATTATTAGAAGAGGGCAAGCTCCACTCAGGAAGCCCAGAGAAGAGATAGTTAATGACTGTCTTAAGCAAAGTAGAAGCAGTGTCAGTGGAGAAGAGGAAGGTTTAGGGAGATGATTAACAAGGTAAAACCAATAGAATATAAGTACCAACTGGAAAAAGAACATTTAAAAGAAATATTTACCAGTCAGACCGGCTCAGTCTTATTATTCTCACCCTTAAGGAAAAATTCCAACCATCACTTCTCAACAGAGAACCCCAGCGTCATCATCCAGAGCTTTATCCCCCCATTTGTATTACTATTTATTTCAATCAATCAGCAATTCAATTCAGAAATATCACAATATATTAGAATTAGACTTGATTCCCAAGAGATTGGCCAGCTGCCCCCATCTTGTACATGAGAAAAATCTGAGGCCTAACAATGCTGAAATAATAAATCTATTAAGTAACAGAACCAGGATTAAAAGTGACAGCTCTACTTCAAACTTCCACCGCATTTCTTCACAGCCAATTCCTTTCCTGTGAATCAGGCTCCCTTATAATCATGCCAGGAAAAGTGAAAAAGCTTAACTGATCTCTCGGCCTCTGGATGTTTTCCACTCTTAAACATGCTGAGTATCATTGCCAAATTAATCTTATGAATAGACCAATCCATGCCATTGTTTGCTGAAAATGTCCTATTGCCCATACATCATAGACCTATTGCTCTAAGACTGGGAAACTAGATTCTGGTCCCAATGTTACAGGTTTGTCAGGTGCTGCCTACTCTCCTGTGGAAACCCACTGAAGCTCACTCCCATCTAGTTCCTCAGCCAATCATAACAAGGCAGGAAGTACATCTGTAACCACAAATACAACCAGAGAAGCAATAGAGTATAGTATGTATTAGTTTGGTCTCTGAAGACAGACTGCTATAATTTAAACTGGGGCCCTCTACCTGGAAGCTATGCAATCATGAGCAAATTACTTATCTGTACCTCAGAGGACTTAATATCCATAAATTGGGACTCTTAACAGCGTGTATCTCATTAGTTTGTGAGAATTAAATGAATGAATAAATATAAAACACTTAGAAGAGTGTCTGGCACATTACATGTGCTCAATAAATGTTAGTTATTATTATTGACATGGTGGAGTTGGGAGTCAACCTTATTGTCCAGAATCTACTTGAGAGTGTAGCACACAGCCCTTAAAGTTTATTACCACTTAGATATCTTCCGTATTTTGAGATTTTCCTGTGATACTTCCCCCAACTTCCAAACACAATCCACTAATTTTGATTGCAGGGTCACTCCTGTTAGGACCAGCCCTATTTGGTCTCACACAAAATTATCTACCCATTTCTGAACACCTAGGTAT